GCTGGACTTGAGCTTGGTCGCGGGCTGGTCCTTGTCGGCCTTGGCCTTGACCGTGTTGCGGCTCGCGGGTGTGGTGGCCAGCAGCAGCGACGACACCTTGCCACCGCCCTTCTTCGTGGTGCCAGCCGCCGCGGCTGATCGCTGCTCGGCGGCCTCGTTGAGCTCGACCTCCCTGTTGAACATGTCGTTGATGATCTTGTTCTTGTCCTTGATGATCCCGATCAACCGCTGGTTCTCCTCCTCGAGTATGCTGACCCGCTCGCGCAGCGTCTCGACGCTCTCCTCCTTCGCGGCCTCGCCATCGGCATTGACCTCCTGCTTTACCGGCGCCAAAGCAAAAGTGAGAGGGGCAAGTCGAAAGAACGAAAAGAGAGCACGGACCTTGGTTGCTTTGGAAATCGCGAGGATCGCTTTCTGAGTGGTGGTTGTCGCGTGTGGTTTGTGACCGGTAAGAAAAAGAAAATGAAGGGAAGAAGAAGAGAGGAGGGGAGTACCTTGAGATGGACGAGGGAGAGGTGGGGCGCGAGATTGGACTGAAACAAGACGTCGTCTCCGCCCCGCTCTCTGACCTGAACCAACGCTTGAAAGGTCAACAAATGTCGGCCCGACAACTTAATAAGTGTAGGTAAAGTAATATCATGTTTTAGTACCAGTATCTGCAGCGGCGCAGAGACTACCACGGCGGCCATGCCAGGGTTAGATAACGTATTGGGCGCAGAGCTTGATCCCTTGTCCGGAGCGGTAGGAGAACTCTGACCTTCTCTTCAGGTGCAGCCGTTACAAGAAGAACGTTTTTCTAATTAATGTTCCAAAAAAAAATAAATAAATTGCCTTTTCTTTTCTCGGCGTTAAGAAAATCAAACCTTCGTCCATCAAGGAGTGCGGCCTCATGTCTTCCGATGACGATCGTCGTTCGAGTCGCGGGGAGCGTGACAGTAAGTAGTACCAATCTTGTGGTTATAGGAAGTTCGTTGGCAGTGCAATCTTCAATGCGGGGGCTAATGGACCTTTTTCTCCTCTTGATCCCCTCTTCGACCCACTGGTCGATGGATTTGACAACGCCTGAATGCACGCCCAATGCTGACGTCCTCGCGCCCATGGTTCTACACGCCCCATTTCGATCAAAATGACTCAATCGCCCGCTACGCGATTCCAGCCGAGACAACAAGAAAGAATGAGAGAGCTAAGGAGCTGAGCCCTGAGCGCCGACGAAGCCGAGATCGCAGATCACGCAGCCGAAGCCGCAGCCGCGATCGCAGATCCCGCAGTCGCAGCCGTGACCGCGATCGTCACGGCAATGACAAGGGTGATCTTCGGCGCAGTGGAGATGCCAAAGAGAAGCGCGCCTCCCGTTCATCCGAACGTAAGAAGAGGCGAAGGGATGACTCTGCTTCCAATAGTAGCGGGTACGTGCACCACCTTTTTGCAGCTTTGGTCCTCCCTTGGCCGGGATCTCATCTTGTCTCCTTTGATCGATTGCGCACAGCTCGGACTCGAGCGCGGACGAAAGAAGGCGCAAGAGGAGGAGGGAGAAGAAGGACAGGTCCAAGTCTTCCTCGAGAAGGGGCGACAAGGACAAGAAAGACAAGAAGGACAAGAAGGACCGCAAGCGGCGGCACAAGAAGCGACGACACAGCTCTTCGTCCGATTCCGACTCCGACTCCGACTCCTACTCGTCTTCTACTTCATCGAGCGAAGAAAGAAGGAGGCGCAGGAAGAGGAAGGAGGTACGACTACTACTACTACTGTCTTTCTACTCGCGCATCATGTTCTACCTCCTACAGCGTGTGCCATTTCTATGCTGACTGTCTCCATTGCAACCGACTCTTCTAGAAGAGGAAGAAGGCCAAGGGACCAGCGCAGCTCTCGAAGTACTTCAACAAGGACTCGGACGCCAGCGACAGTTCAGACTCGGGCAAAGGTCCTCACCCGCACTACCCCCTCACCGCATACCAGGCCTACGTTGAACGTCGCGGCCAGTTCACTCACGCATGCGCCGTGTTGATGTTCATGGTGCTTCATGTGTTCAACAGGGCCTCGCTCGGCGATCTCGGGTAAGAGGATCAAGTTGAAGCTCAACCGGAACAAGGAAGAAAAGGAGATGGACAAGAAGAGGAAGGAGGTCCTCGAGTTCTACAACCAGATGTACACATGAACGCTTCCCTCCCTCCTCTTCCTTTCCCGTATTGCGACTCTCGTCAAGTCATCTGCATACGCCCGACGGCCAAATACAGATCCAGACTATTCTCCACACATGGCGCTCATACGGCCGCTCAGACGAATGATGGCACTGGCCTCGGGGCTCTAACGTCTGATGCTTGGTCCTACTACCCAGTCGCTTCGTTCCAGTTCAACAGAAAAGAGACGAGAGATGGAAGGAGAACTGAAGGTTGGAGCGAGGAGGCGGCAACACTACGACTACGAAGTCTCCGAGGCGCTGCTGCCCGACGAAGTGCTGGTGCGGGTGTTCGAGTTTCTGCCCCTGGGCGGGATCGTAGCCGCGCTGCACGTCTCCTGCCGCTGGCACGCCCTCGCGAGCGACCCTCGGTGCCCCTAGCCTTCCCCTCCCTCCACCATCAAGTTGTTGTTGACAAGTAGTGTCGGCATCGTCTCCTTTAATGACGCAGGGTGTGGAGGCGCCTGTGTCTCGAGCACGGCTTTCCCAAGATCGACCGAAGCCTGGGCTGCCGCTGGAAGCTGTGGTTCATGCGCATGGTAACGTTTAGCACCCCGCCCTGATCTCATGTAGCACTTGAAGAGTCCTCAATGCTGACAACGCTCTATGGTTGTGTGTGTCGCTCGTGCGGGCAGGCCACGCGTATCGCGGTCACGACGCGCCGGCTGTGCCTGGAACGGGAGGGAGCAGTGTCCCTCATCACCCGGGCCGAGGCCAGGCGCAGGGACTACGCCCACAACACCACCACAACCATTCTGGTGGAGCGCGACGCCACTCTTCTCAGTACGTTGATCGTGTGCATGCGTCGTGCTTCGTGTGCGTGTGCGCATTGGCGACCTCACTGTTGGACGCGGTCATGCAGGTCTGCTGCGCGCCATTGGCATGCAGCACTACACGGCGCCGCACAACATCACGCTGTGGCGGATCAACCACGAAATGAGGCTTGAGCTGGTGACGGACGTCACCAGAAAGCTGTGGGAAGTCGGCATCACGCAGGGCTCCGCGCTCGCCCACACCGAGCTGCCCGGCCTCACCCACGCCGCCTCCCTCTACGGCGGGTCCATGGCGGACATGCCTGCCGACCACCTGCTGGCCATCCGCTTCGTCTGAGGCGATGATGTGGCGTGGAGTATGTAAATAGTTAAATGTTGCTGTATTATGTCTTCTTCGATCTGAGAAGTACTTGCTAGAGGGCCTCGCCATAGGTCGAGCATACAATGTACCAGGCGTGTATAACACCTGACCAGCACCTTGTTAGCCGCGATTCTCTGGTGATGTCCTGGGGTGTTGTTGGGGGGGGGGAAGGTTACCGCCGATCCAGAGGCCTATGATACAGAGAAGGATGTTCAAAAGGAACTGGCAGCCGCAACCTCGCTTGATGAGGACGGGCAGTGGCGGCAGAAGGATGCCGAGGATGAGCAGCAGGATGTCTCCAACGGTGAGTCTTGTCGCAGCGTCCACCATCTTGTGCGGGTTTGTGTTATGTAGAGGTCGTGTGAGTATGATGTTGAATGCTTTGAGCTCACAACACTGGTTTTGTAGCTCACTGTGTGCACTGGAGAAAGGTCGCAGGAAGCCTCCAAGAGCTCTCTGCTCGAGGGGCACCCACCAACGAACTTTGGTCCAAATATCTGCAAAAGAGTTTTGCTCACATTTCCTAATGCAGTCATTTCTTTCACATTTTCTTCGGTGTTTTCTTTCTTTCACGGAACACAGAATCTGCGCGACAAGTTAGAGCATCGATTTTCCATCGAGGTTCATAAAACGTAGAGGATGGCGGATGCATCGGCAGGTGGCGAGCAAGCTGCCCAACCTCCTGTGGTGGCCTCTGCACCGGCAGCCAAGCCAGTCGAAGGTGCGTACAACAGAATCTCCAAAATGATTTGTTTAGTAGTACAACTTTTTATTCAATGTGCCACGGGCACCTCCTTACACGCTTTTCTTTTCCAACGCAGAGTACATGAAAGATGGAAAAGGTATGTTGTTCCCTCTCCCATAATCCCTGCACCACCCTCACCTCGTCTGGTGCAGTTGTAATTATGTTCAAAGCCGTTGGTGGCGCCTCCGCGTTGAAGGTGCGACCCCGCCCCCCAAAACCTCATCGAGCCTCGTTCTATCTTTCGCTCTGTATGAATGCGAACTGCTGCACCTGTGTGCTCTACCCTCGCGCTTATCGCTGGTGTTGTACGTTCTCAGGTGAACAAGTTCAAGCTGCAAGCCAAGGCCTCGTTCCAGTTCATCGTGGACTTCCTTCGCAAGCAGCTGCGATGCAAGCCTACCGACCCTCTGGTGCGCTCCTCTCGCTCTCTTCTTCCAAGCCCTCTCTATACCCATCGCAGTCGCGAGCTAACACCAACTCTTGGCGACATTCTTCAGTTTTTGTTTGTCAACGGAGCCTTCCAGCCCAACCCGGAGGAAGTCATCGCCGACCTCTTCAAGGTACCTACCTAGGACCACAGTGTGCCTCTATGCTTCCTCCACTTGCTGGTCCCTCAAATGGAGCATGTGCGAGTGGCCACTCACCACTCACCCTCTGTCCACTGCAGTGTTTCCACAACAGCGGCCAGCTGGTGATCAACTATTGCACAACTGCCGCGTGGGGCTAACAGAGGTTCTCCGTGTGGCTGGGGGGTTTGGGGTGGGATGTATGGAGGATTATAGTGAAAAGAGTGTTGCGTTTCCCACGGTGATGACTCCAGACTCACGAAAAGCGCTTTGCATTTCTTGCATTGGACGTATACACATTAACATATCACACACACATATAATATCCCTTGATTACACTGCCCAACAAGCGCCTATCCTGAGCATAAGTTGTTGCAGCTCACGCTGGGTTTCGGGTTCGTGTCGTCCCTTCTGTAAAAATTCGCAGAAGGAGCAAAAGAAACAAATAAAAAAAACAAAATGACAACAGTAAAAACATGGAAGCACGCAACGAGGAAGCCGCAGGGCTCACCATACCTGATGCGCCCCCCGGTACAGGCCTGTTCCCGCAGGACATCAACATCGAAGAAATACGCAAGGCTATCCAGGGTGCGCAAGACTTTGTTTTTCTTTTAAAATATATATCAATATTCACTGCCGACAGGACGCGATGACTTCCGCGAGGTCAAGAACGCCGACTTTTCGAGCTTCGTCTACTTCCTCGGCATGGCCAAGG